GTGTCGGCTGGTAATATAAGAGCTTCTCATGTCATCATTCAAGCCTTCTAGTTGTTGATTATATCATTTCGAGGTCAATTCACAGACGAATGAAGCAATAAAATATAACACCCCTTATGGAATTCCTATTCTTGGCTTGATTGCACCACATCATAATAACCAAGTCTAAATAAGTTAAAATTGGATAATAGGGTTGCCCGGTCGAGCAAAAGGTTCTTATCTGTTGAAAACAGTGATCGTATGTGACCCAGACACTCAAAAGCTTACGATAGGTCGWTGTATATAGATATAAATATACTTTGTTTACTATTTGATAAGTAAGTTAGGATTTAAAGGAGTTATTTCTACATTTAATACCCAATAAAACGCAGTATCACACGTGCAACCTTTCCCAAGTGTAAACTAATCTTTCTATCTAACATATTTCAAATTATTATCATTAATATCTAGAGTATAATGCTTAAGCTAGACCAATTCCATATTACTTAAAAACGAGAAATAATTGCGACTATTAATTCACTTCATTAACACTCTCGTTTGTGATTGATACTTAAAAATAAGCCAGGAAAATATTTAAAATTAATAATGTCMAAAGGAAATACCTGAAAGATGTCTCTGGTCTCTGGAAACTTTAGTTCCACCAACAATGCCAACATCACTGGCAATTTTGGCACGCTCAAATTTGAGGATATTCCGTCCATGAGTCAATTCCAAAGAAATAAAATAACTAAAGGACAGCAGATAAACTCCCCTAAAAAACACAAATAGTAGATTACTGTATTTTGTTCTTAGAAAAATAACTAGTGGATAAACAAAGTTGCGGCGCAATATTTACCAGTGAAGATCCAGCTTCATGTTTAGAAGCGGAGAGCAACTGCAGGCCTAACGTCAGTGCAGACAACCGGGGTCACATGTTAGGGTCAATCGGAAGCTTCATGTGTTTTGTTGACGAATGACAAGCCTTGTCGATGTCTATAAAATAGCAATATATGGATATCAACAAGTTTTCATGGCTTTAAGCRGGTCAACATCTGATGTACTCTGTTCTCGGATACTAAGATGTTATCAGGTAGGGCAAGCTCCACATTTTGTCCGTCCCTCTTGCAAAATGCATATGCTAGGTGATTCGTAGAACGGTTTTGTGTGAAGAAATCCTCGTCTTTTTATTCGTTTTATCCTATGAAAGTGGGATGACATTAAACAGGTGATGTGTCGAACGACATTCCCGCTTAGCTCAGTATATAACGGGAAAATAAACGATTTCTGCGCAAACTTTGCGATTTCTACCAAAATTCTCAAACTCTTTTTTTCCAAGATCATCACTCCCTCTCGGATAATGATACTAATCTGGAGGTCCCTACACTACACTGCATTGTGGAGTAAAAGAACCACCGAGGAACGTAAGAAACCATGGCCTTGACCACCCTCAATAAGTGGCTAACTTTTAAAATCTCTCTGCATTCTTACGATCATTCTAGGATTAGTGAAAGCCATTTASAAGTATAATAACTTAAGAACTAAGAAAAAAGAGGTGTTGCTAAATGGTCTTAATAGCACAAGTGCTAAAATAGTAAGAAAAAAAAAACACACAATTTTTAAAAAAACTTTTTTAAAAACAAGACATGTTTCGGCTTTCATGCATGTAGCAACTGTTGTTTGATATATATAACTTCCTATCAGCATTATTACCACACTTGTGTAAATTCTCGCGCGGTGTCTGGCTGATAAGAGTGTGTCAAAAAGAGGACGTGTATACTACACGTCTCGCGCGCGCGGTCAGTTCACAGAAAATAATGATTTTCGCTAATTTTTAGACTTAAATGTGGTAAAAAAAACAAATTGCGCACTGTTTAAGATGTATGTACTCTTATTATGTACACACTCTTGACATCATAAAATGTTCAAGACTCAAGTGGACCCACGAGCGCAGCGAAATATGAATTCTTGGTTAAAACTTTGTGTTTTCAGTCTTAAAGAGGTTCAAAGAGGTTGCTATAAGATGCCTATTATTACAAAAGTCAATGGTGAACCACGGAAAAAGAATTTAAAAAAAAATTAAAAAAGCAAAAGATTGGACGAAGTATACAAACAATTAGAAGGAACGTGCTTAAAATCACAGAAAAAACGTAATAAACGAGACTCCTTAGCCTGAMATCCCTTTTCCCCCTCTTCACTTAAAATAGTCTAAAAATCTAAAATTCCTTTGAATCCAGTCTGAATCCCTCTGAACGCTGTGTTTTTTTTAAGAAAACTGGGACAGTATACGATGTAGGGCACTCGCCCATAGTGCTAATGCCCCCTTTCTCTCAAATAGAGAAACACCACGMATTGCTACAATTAACAATGTTATTTTACGGTCTCAAAGGGAACCCAGGGGCGATCTAAATGTTTTGCAACTACATCTAAGTGCAAACAGGATTAACAAAATTACCGGAAATTTGTAATTCTTTCTAACACGTGTTTTCACGTAGAAACTGCAATACAGTGAAATACTGTGTTGGTGCATTAGAACAGATCTCTCGCTTTGCTCACTYGTATTTTAKYTTGGCAAGAAATCTGTTTTTTGTTAACAACAGTACGACCGTGGAACAGTCTTCGGATCTTTCYCTCGTAACAAACACCAGAGACGAATGATGACTCAYMARRAAAWWAA